AAATCAGCGAGGTTTTAAGTTGTGAGTTCCAGACAGGCTGGTGCCAACTGAGAACTGATGGATACTGATGGCAAGCTGGTGTGTCAAGCATTTCTTCGACTGCAGCCCTGGCACCAATTCCAAGCTGCGCAGGTGCTGCCACCACGCCGCCAGCTCCATCCAAATGACGAAACAAATATCTTAGCCGCACAGAATGCGCGCAAGGGACACACCTCTAAAGGTTAGAGCCGGATTCTGAAACTAACTCATCAGATTCTGAAACTAGCGTTCTGAAACTGGAATTCTGAAACTGTGTCCGGCATGGCATTTTATGAAGCCAGTTTCAGAATCACAGTTCGAGAATTCCGTTTCAAGACTTCAGTTTCATGTAGCATCATCTTGTATGCCCCCCAAACCCTCCTCACCCAATTCCCCCCGGCTTCCAACGCGTGTGCACATGTAGCACCATCTTGGATGCACTTCTAATCGATCGTCATTACCCTGCCCCACACCACCCCACCCTAGCCCAGCGTAGGCCGTAGGCGTAGCATCAGCGGTGTCTGCAAGTTCACATGAACGCTAGCACCACCGCAAAATCCCAGTTGTCGAATCTGACCAACTAGCTGAGGAATCCTAGTTGCGAAACCCGACTCTACCCCACCTCTACACACTGTAACCTCAGCCCAGGCACAACAAAAGGATGTAGGCAAACATGTCTGGACAGGCCCACTTGCTGATGATCTGCACCACCTGAACAACTGCCCCAGGTGACAAACAGCACCAACAAGTATGTTGAAACTTGGAAACATTCATTCTAGCTGCTCCTGCTGCTGCTTTGCATCTACTGTACCGGAAATTACAGGCTCATCTAGAGCTGAAAGCCTCCACCATGTGCTTGGCCATACGCACTTTCCTGGGGTCCTGATCCTCCCGCCACAGCTCAGCCATGATCAAGGCAACAATCTTCACTGCAGGTACCACTATGGCATAGAGGATGAGCCTAAGGTTAGACGGACAACAAGCAGTGAACAAGTCTTTCGGTTTTTCAATTTCCCATGCTTCAGTAGCTGCAGACGTCTTCCCCATCATTGGAGCCGCGTAACAGGAAAGCCCCTATCCAGCCACCCGTTTTAAAGAGAAGGTGAACAACACCAACGGCTGATTCCACTATAGATGCATAATCTCCATCCACCTTGAAAGTGCGGCAAGGCAAACAAAATCATTGCTGATTCAGAAATCGATTTGACAAGGATGGCAAAGGCAGCAGCTCCCACCTGTGTGAGGATGACCTTCACCCCGAGCACTTCAACGCCAAGAATGAACTGGAACAGTGTAGTAACCAGTCCTGGCAAGGTCAACTCGTGAGCAAACTGAGTTTGCTAAGTGGTCCGAGGCACCTGGTAGAAGAAGGGCATAGCTTCCTAGCAGGGCTGCCAGGCAAAGATAAGACGGTCGCGTAGACGATTTTGGCGGTGCCAAAAACCTCAGACCGTCAAGAACTGAGTCGAATAGCAAGCAACAGTGTCCGACAGCAGCAACGGTGCAAATGCCATCCAAGGACATGTCCAACGCACAACCGACACCCAGGACTACGAGCATGGCAATGGCACAAAGAACCACCTGCAGCATGCAGCTGCTTGAATGAGATGACATGCATCCCTCAAAGTACAGGCCTGTTGGTTCACTGCGTGCGTACCAGGTGGTGGAAGGTCGAAGTTGTCAACGGCCATGTCACCTCTAAGGACACCACGAACACACAAACGCTCTTTGTCTACATGGTTCAGAGTCACTGCTTAGATTGAATTTAGAGCACGGCCCCACAACCGAAAGTCCTGGCCTAAGAGGGCCTTGGCCGCAGAAGATGTCATTGAGTCAACCTCAGATTGATGGCATTTGGCTGGGGCTGACATTACAGTGCAGGTGCTATTAAAGGATGCTATCTTATCCCTCTTGTTAAGGTTCGTGCTGCTGACCCCAATGCATCGCCAACGGCGTTGGTTGCAGAAGATACGATATCGCCCAAAGGACCAAATTGAACCTGGACTTTCACTTTTTCAACACTGGGTCGATGTGGAAACTGATTGCGTTGTGAGCTCTCAGATGTGTCACAGGCCCTTCTGCGTTCTACCTCCCACCTCCTGGTCCAACTGTTTTCCTCGTTGCGAAAAGGCCCGGGCGCTGTAGAGGTTTACAGCGCCAGCAGTAGCACAAGATATGTAGAACATGTACGCTACCGAAAGCCATGCCATGGTCGGCGAGGCTGTGTGGTCTACCTTCTTGAGCCCATAGCTAAAGCAACAAAATCTCTGAGATTGAGAAAGGACGAACGTAAAGAACATGTTGAATATTCAGTCGCATGCATGCTCTAAAATACTGCAGCTGTGTCTAAATGAGCCCGAGTCTGCCGTCGGGATCGTAGAACACGACGCCTGCAATGCTCGAGGGTGGACTGGGGCCGCTAGGGCTGCTAGGGGCACACTGCGCAACAAAGACTAGTGACTAGTGTTGCTCAACAACAAAGACATACTGAGCCTTGCTCAACTGCAGCAAGCAGCCAGGGGGGCTGCTCGACAGGTGCAAAGGTGACCTGGCAAAGCAAACAACAAGTAACAAGTAAAATCAAAAGGCGAGCTTGGGGGGAGGTGCTGAAGGCCTCCAACCTAGAAGCGATGGCCTCCAACCTACTAGCGATGGCCTCCAACCTAGAGCTTGGGAGGAGCTAAACCAACACCGAGACACGCCCATGGCATCTGCAGCTCGCACCCAAGGTGGCATCTCGGGGGCCTCCAAGACATGACTGGTCACTTTGACCTCTTTCTCTTTTTCGCTATTGCTAAGCTAAAATGCCACCGCAAAAGATAGGATGGATAACAACTCTACCTACATTCACAATTGTCAAAGGTGCCCATTGGCCTTGTTTTCACCCTCCATGACCCCAACCTGACCAGGCCAGCTACGCTTTGTAGCAATTGATCCGAATGCAAAGTCTTGCCAGTCTGCAGCTGCAAGAAGAAACATCACATCATTGTATTTCTGAAATATCCCAGCACCTCGGTTCAGGAGGTGAAAAGTTTGCTTTGGGCAAAAGTGGCTTCGGCAAACAGCACACAAGCGTAAGAGAGAATCAGCCAACCTTTCAAGTCAGCCCCATGCAACACTCTCAAATCGTTCTACATCATCGCTGCGCTCACCTTGGCACCTGCAATGGCACTTTGGCTTGCTTCCCTGGGAGGCGATTCTGCTTCAATTGTGGATTCCTATACTGTATATATATATATATTCATTGCAGGTACATGTGGAGTAATGCAAGGACACAATCATGCACACTATCTTTCACACTCGCATGTTCAGTATCAGGTGGGTCTCGTTGGCGGTTGGTTTTACTGTTGACTGCGGCCTGAGCGTATGAAGCGCACAGTGTTGTGGGTGGCCTATGCCTATGGATTTCAGGGGGCTGCGAATTTGTGCCCCGTGCACTTCTTGCGAGGTCGTGGGAGGCGCCACTTCCTACGCTGGTCTGTGGCACTCTGCTTGGCCTCAAAAAGGAGACTGGACCCTCCAAGCCCTCCATGAGCATTTGAAGCTTTGCTGGCCTCTTGGCCTTCGCATGCCTTAGCTTGGGGGTCCCAGATGCAATACATCGCATACTTTACAGGTGTATATATATATAATTGTTCCACATCCTGACACAGAATCATTTTTCGCTGTTTTGCTCCCCTTCCTGTCAGCTGTGAGTGACCTTGTGCCATTGCCGCGATGCATTCAAGGAGTTCAGAGGTCTTGCCCCAAGAAGCTGAAGTTGCGTTACGTTGCGTTAGCAGTGCAGCGATGAAGGACAAACATCATGAAGCGAGGCCTCAGCGGAGCATTCTGCAGGAGCTTACTTACCGTAACTAGACTGTGCTGACTATCTAGATACAGGACTCCAGGTCTGTTGATCTAGGCTGGGCAACTGAATCGCAGGTTCACCATGTCAGGACCTGGCCCTGGCCCCAACTGCAAAACGATGATCGTTCCCTACTTACTGTAACCCCATCATCCAGATTAAGGCACCTTGCTGTCTGACAGTCTTGAGTCTTGAATGCTCAATTCAGGAAGATGCGAACTGACACAATATACCGCCACGACCGTCTTCATGTTGACGCATGCCTTTCCCGTGATTGTATACACATCCGTCGTGGACATGCCCTGTTCTGCGCCAAGGCAACTTTCCGCTTCTACTTTCACCGCCTGAGCTACTGAATCCACCTTCTACGCCGCTACGCTGTACCATCCGCCTCTACACACTCACCTCCACGCGAGTCTGGAATTGACCCCCCTCCAAGTGTCAAACTCCGTGTGGCAAGTCTGCGCACGACCCTTGCAAGAACATACGGAGACGCGGCAACATGCATGCCATGGAAAAGGGAATCGCTTTCCACATCGGGCTGCGGCTGCAACTAGTAACTAGCCTATCGCACACGGCCTCCAACACTTCACGAAGCACAACACGTAAATAAAGTACTGATCCTAGAGTGAATCCGCTGTCCCCATGTACCTAAACGAGCCAGGAAGACCTCATGCCATTTCAGGCTGCGACTCCCAACTCCTGATGTACTCCTCACTTCATCTTCACTGCTCCGCCCACCACGGCCATGGGGTGCTCGGACTAGCACCCGGAAGCACGGCCTTCGGAAGCCTTCTAGCGCACTGCTACAAGACTTCTTTGCCATTCACATGAGGATGTTTGTTTCACGGTCGCCCGTGTCTGGGAGGAAGGAACTTCTTATATAGTGAAATCTGCAGTGTTTCGAGCGTTCTTGGATTGTCGTCTCAGTGGCCGGGGTGCAGGTGCTGCATAAAAGCTTACAAGAACCTAATCCTTTACATAGCTTTGTGTGGTACAGTTGATGCAAATTTCGATTCTCTTGCACTGGTGGGATACGATCTGGAACTCAGCGTCTCAAGAAGGAACAAAAAAGACCTAACTTGCGGCAAGCGTAAGGACCAGATCTGGCAAAGCGGCTGTTTTTTCTGGACCACTAAGTTAGCAAGGGGCCCAAGATTTGCATAGCTCGCTTAGCATCAGGATGCTTGCCTCAGCATAGATGAAAGGTGTTTCATGGTGCAGCAGGTTCCCAAATCTCAAAATGCAAAACTTCACAAGGGCAAAAAAACCAAGCTGCACTTGTCAGGATGGCATAGCCGCATGATTGCCTTGACAGTTGAACGCTGATCTTTTGCAGCTGGCAGCCCTGCTTCAGTCATACCTCGAAAGTTACAAACTGCATCAAAAAATTGGACCCCCATATTGCCGTGGTGTTCTTATAGAATGGCCAGGCTCCGGCTTGCTGTTACGAACTGCTGAGAAAATCATGCATTGGCAACCAAGCAGGGCTAGCACCATCCGGACAGCATGCGGTCATGTCTCAAATAGGATGTTGACTGTGGCTCACAGTCAAATGGCAATCATTTTCACTTATATATATATATACACATAGCGTCTAACCTCCCGCCATTGTGCCAGGCTGCTGACCAAAATGTCCTTGGGCCGAGATTCAAAGCGCAAAGCCAGGCGCACAGCGAAGGCCTGCAAAGCATCTTGGGAAAGTATTTATCAAAATCTAGAATCTATGAGCCTTACGGAAGCCAGCATGTCCAGTCAGCTTTAGTAGCAAGGTGGTGCTGTAGCTCAGTACATGGCACAAGCACTCTAGACGGCCTCCTTGCCCTCACAAGTCACATGTGCCGTTTTGTCAATTCTTTGTCCACGTGTTTGCCCACTGATCCTGCGAAAAGGTGCAAAAGCCGTTGGCTGCATCTGCTCTAGCTTCAGCTTCACATTCTGCGATGACAAGCCTCAACAGGCGTGTGACTTGCCGTGCTCTTTTCCATGCGCACTGTCCAGTCACGCTCTCTGCCCAAAATGTTTCGGCAAACCCGAAGCAAGACGCTGCAAAGGAAAAGAGCATGGAAGCCATGCATGACATGAGTTCCCTCAATTGTTGCACATGTCTATTTCCCATGAAGTGTTTGCTTGCTGCCCCAGCTTTCTTGGAGCTTGCGTTGGCGGAGAAGCTGGCCTTGTGACAAGGTTGCAAAACAAACGACTTGCATGCGAAGCCCAAGGACAATCAGCATGGTACTACTCTTTGGTGACGAATGAGTCGGTTGAATGAATCGAAGATTTTTGCAATCCACAACTGAGGTCTATCGACCTTAAGTGCGGTCCAGCCACGCGCTGTGCCTCCAATGCGGGTTTTGTGAGTCCCTGATGAAGCCTCCTGTGCCAGAGCTTCTCACTTTGTACTTTCCTTTCGTCTTTCACTTCCATGTGTTCTTCAGTTTTTTTCACTCAGTTTGGAAGAGATAAATAGGAAAAGCAATAAAGGTTGCTTGCAAAGTCTCCACGGCTCGGATCGGCCCTGGGTGGTGAAGGCGCCGCAGCCTAGCAGCAGTTGCCGTCATTACCAACTTGCAAAATTGTTTTCATGTTCACCCTGTAAGACTTCTTAGAGTAATCCTGTTTTGGTGGAGAGTGCTCTGCTGTTCTTCCTTATCTCGATCTTTCATGCTTCATTCTCCGTGCTTCCAATGCTCTAGCACCTTTTGCCCACATGTTTGCCCTCTCGTGTTCCGAAAGGCTGTTGACGGGCATGTGCATCGCTCGAAGAGGCAGCATGTCTATTGAACACTATTGAACTATCGGTTGATGTGCGAGTGATCTGGTTTGAAAAAACGAACGGCTCACAACTGCAGCCTTCGGCTCCCAGCGCTGAGTCACATGGTTGAAATGGTAATTTGTTTTTGGCTTGGGCTTTGCTTTGGCAAAGTGCTCACCTCAGTACCACATCATAATGACCCGATGACAGAAATTGACCACAATCGACCTCAGGATCTCAAATCTTTGCTGAGGTACCAGTGTCCAGTGGCCGCGATTCACGCCGTTGTGGTAGAGATTCACTTGCCCTGCCCAATTCTTTAGCAACTCTGCAGATCAAGTGAGGCTTAGTAGGCTTAGTAGGGCCTGGATGGCGAGTGTCCCTCCCGTTCGGCCGCACGCAGCATCTCAATGAGGGAGTCGAACGCACCCTCATCCTCCGCGTCGTCCTGCTGGAGTGGCTGCTTGGAGTGGAGGCACCATTTGCGGGAAAACTCTACGCAAAAACAACTGCATCCACACTTGGCATTAAACACCGCCTCTGCGACACCTGCGAAGGGGTTGTACTCCTGCCACTTCCAAGGTTGCTGGGCGTGCGAAGTATCATCAATGAAGCTACACCATGAGATGATATACATATTTATATACTTTGACATTGTGATCGAATCCGCCACCGTTCAATCAAATGTCCAAACAAACATGTTCGGAAACCTGGATAGCCGTCACAAAAAGAGGATGGGGTGCACCGAGCAAGCATCCATGCATTCAGGCTCTCCCTAAATTATGTGGAACTGGCCAGTATGTTACATCGCTTGGCTTGGCGCTTCGAGAATGTGTTTTCTTGAGAAGCTCCCCTGCCTATACCTAGAAACATCGATATATACTGATACTTAAGTGTGGACTAGCTAAGTTCTGTGTGGTGTGAGCAAGCAGGTTCTTGGAAACACTTTGCAGGCTCCCGTAAGCGCAAGCCAGCCAAGTCAAAGGACTGGCCTCCTCAAAGCTACCTTGACGACCTTCTTGGCCTTTGCTTCTGGCCTGCACATCGAACGGTACAAAGCCACGGCTGCAAACATCAGAAGCAAATGCTAGGGCTGAGAGCTTGGAAAGCGCTCGACTTACACTCATCCAACTCACCAGGAAGCCAGTCAAATTCTTACCCCTGTCAACGAGGAAGTGTATGGTCATGTCCAGTCCTCAAGAATACAGTAGACCAGGAGCTAGAACCCTGCCCAGCTAACGAGGAAGAGGCAGGAAGAGGTGTAAGAAAACTGTCAGTGGACAAGGAAGCTGATATTGTTCTCCAAGTCCCTGAAGAATTTCCAACAAGGATTGTAAAATCGGAATTCCTGGTTGAATGGCCAGCGTTCGATGCATGTCATTTCTATTCCTTTCTCCTTTCTTGTCTCCTTGACTCCTCGACGAAAACTGACTAATTGACCAGAAGAACCTCATTTCCCTTGAAGTCGTGATTTGGCAGTACAAGCCACCCAAACCCTCATCAAACTTGATTACTGGAAAGTTTGTGTTAAAACTGTGGGCCACAAAAGGGCAGCGGATGCAATTTATATCTTAAAGGCCAGTGGCCTGCGCCCCGGCAAAAGGGTCATAGTCCGACTCTTCCGTTGGCGCTTCGGTGTCAGCATCATCATCCTGACATGGCAAAGCAAAACAAAACACATGAGGCACCATGGACCATGAGTCACCAGCCACGAGTCACAGAACACACTTTCCCTGACTGTCCCTTCATTTTTGAAATCCAACATTCTCATCTCTCCTCCACCCTTGGGGATGCCGATGGCTCTGTGGCATCCTGCTCAGGCTCCTACAGGACAAAACAAAACCTTAAACCATGCAAAACTGGTTTGCAGCTGGCGGCTAGCAACTTGAAGCCAAGCCGCATCTTGGCTAGGAGGGCCCGGAGTCTGATGCGTACTGCCTGCCACATTCTGAAAATCCAAGGCCGTTGTGTCGTCCTCCCCTCGTCTGCCAGCACTTTCCCTATTTGACAATCTCCACCTGTGCCGCATGCCATGGTCGAGTGCCAAGATTGCCTCAGTACCACACGGTCATATGGCGCAAACATTGCAAATATGCTGTGTCAGCGTCCCTTTGGGCACAACACCAGCCGCGCAATACTAGCCACTAAGAAAGGTTGGAAACGGGATGTTGAATTCTGATGGATTTATCTTTCTCACAGTGCAGTCTGAGAGGGATTTGCGTGGGCTGCGCAGGTGAAGAGACATGTGGGCATATATTTTGAGGCCAGGCAGTAGGGGTGTGAGACTCCGAGTTACAAGTGAGGCTCAAAAGCTGCCATCTAATGGCCTCATAAGTGCTCTATATTCACATATATAAACGTGATTGAACCACTTGACATCAGGTTCCAATCCGAGCAGCTTGTCAGCTGAGGTGAGCCCAGTTTCCTCCAGGTTTGCTGCAGGAATGGCCAAAGGCTACAATCTACCAAATGCCATCGATATGTTCATGGCCTGCCACACGTTCATATAGCGCACGTGCTCGGCTTCTTGAAGAGCCCTGAGTGCCAAGTCCAATTTTCTCTGGAAGACTACGAGAAAATATGACAACAAGCTCAGGCCCATTGGCCCATTGGGTGGGATCTGCTCCGTTAACAAAGCACTGTCGTCAGAATTTATCATTAGCCTGGTGCGTGTCAATCATTGCACCAGTTGTTAAGCTCTTAGTTCGTGCACCGTTTTAGCACGACACATTATCCAACATGGTGCGGCGCAAACCTGAAGCACAAGTGAACAACAGAAAGAACAACCCGATCAGGCTGAGCCTTGCATCGGCCAAACGCTCCTGACATTAAAGATTCTGATTTCATTAAAGAACAACAAGTTCCGTGTTTCTATATATATATATATTGCGAGTGGATCTTAATCAGCGAAGTTTGAAGCTATCACTGACGGTCCATAAGCGGCGTAGCGTCGGAACGGAAACCGCACCTTTTCTAGTCGCTTGATCCTTGAGCCAAAGTACATATGGTATACATATATATGTACATGTTGCACTGTACATGTCGCTGCACTTTCATTCGCACCCCCCATGTGAACGGCAACAATATGTTCCGATCACACACGAAAATTTAGGGATGTAAGTGCTACAAAGGAATTGTATGATTTGCCGCGAGACTCATATGAGGCTCATACTACAGAACATGCTGGACTAAAGCGGACTTTTACATATAAAGTGTGCAACTATGGCTCAGAACCTATGAAAAAAAGTCGAATTGAACAAGTGAGACAGTCACGAGGCCTCGCTCAGTGTCTACTCAAAAGAGCATCGCTTTGATGTAGATCCGAACTGGTGACTTCAACGTAGATGTCACATCGGCAACTGACTTCACACTTCTCAAAAGATGTAGGTTTTAGTTTGGATACACTTACAGAACGGCAGGTCGGAGAGACAGTCGGTGATTGTCTTCCTTCCGTTATGCTCATGGTATCACATCAGATTGATGATTTGCAATGATACACTTACAGCGTTTCAGGTCAGATAGGCATCCGGTGAATGACTTCCTCCCTGGTTTGCATGGTACCCCCATAGTCGTTCAAAGAAATCACCACTGGTGATAACCTCTCCATCCACGATGATCCCAGCTGCTCTGAGCATCCCACCGATCATCTTCTCCCTTCTTGGACTTTCCCTTGGACTTGCTCTTTCCCTTTCCCTTTTCAGAAGGTTGAGGTACTTCGCGGTGTTCTTGCGTTAGCGCCGGCCTCCAAGAGGTTCCAGATTGGCCTCCTCCTTTGGAATGTCCTCGGGATGATGAAGAAGTTGTACCTTCTGCTGCATGTGTGTTGGCGGCAAGATCTTCCTTCAAGGCTTGCTCGAACACATCGGTAGCACTGGACGGTGATTTATCATGCGATCTGGCTTTTAGAACAGCCTTCGTCTTGTTCTCCTCTGTTGAAGGTTTTGGCTCTTCACTTGGTGTTGACGACGGCTTGGCCTCGGTTCCGGGTGTAGATGCTGGCTTTGCCTCAGCTCTTGACGAAGATGCTGCTTTCGCTTCAGACTTAGTCGTTGATGTTGACTTAGCTGTTGCCTTGGCCGCCTGCTTCTTCTTGCCCTGAATCTCCTTGGCCCTATCTCCAAAGCCTAGACGAT